CCCCCTCTCCCTCTCTCTCTCTCTCTTTCACACACACACACACAAACACATACACAAAAGACAATTGAATCAATCTATAAATCAATCAATCAGTCGACGCACCTGTCATTCAAATAGTCACAACCTGGGCCGTGATTATTTATACTTAAGCTACTAATGTTACTCTGTTATTTAACATCGAGATCACCCGACGTCCATTTTGGCGCTATCTTTTCCTGTAAATTCCAGCACCGTTCGCGGGGGACTCCACAAACCGTGCGTGAGATTTAGTAGCTAGTTAGCTGGGTGCGGGAGAAAGCCCCGATTAAGCCGACGAACCGCTTTCCAGCCCACTACCTTCTGCTTATCTTCACGGGTTGGATTATGGTCTGTTTACTACAACTTGTGCTGCTGAGTTCGACCTCAACTCGCTGGACAGAGGGCTCTCGTGGTCGAGAGATTACGGTGATTGCCTCTCCTCTTTCCAATTGGTACCGGGTTCGGATCCGGACAGCGACGGAACATTTTCTTATTATCTAAAATGTTCTCCTTTCACGTCCTTTCTGAGCTCCTGACTCTTTCTGCAGTCTTTCTACTGCTACTCCTTGGCTCTTTCTTACTGTTGTCTTTCATCCACAACCCTGATCTTGGGTAGCCTTCTTCTAGGGTAACGGCGAAAAATCTCGGAAATCCCGTGTTCAAGTTGTGCTCATGAAAAAAACCCTGAGGGTCCAAAATTGATAAGAAGAGTAGGCTTCGACCGTCACCGGGGCAAAATTCAAAATTTTCTACCAACTGAAAGTGCGCTCATATGACCTTTTGCAGTTGCGAGCGCCGTAAAACGCTTAGCCAAAAAAAAAAAAGTCACTGGCCGACATTCAGTGCTTTACTTTACGTAGATCTAGGTCTACGTGTTCTTTCTTTCAGCATGGTCTGCGCTCCTGGCACGTCACTGTTGTCGGAAGGTGGTCTCTGCGATCCTCTCTGACTGATTCTGGGCATTCTGAATCTGTAGAGATATATAGATCTATCTAACCTAGATCTGAAACGACACCGAAATGAAATGTGACAGTTGGTTTGGGAGAGGGGGTTGGGGGGGTTGATTGCCGATTCCATGTACCGCACAGGGAGAAAGAGAGAGAGAGAGAGAGAGTTACACGTACGGCATTTCTAGTATCAGTTGGTACTTTATCGTTCTCAGCTGTGATGCAGATGACCCTAGTTCGACCACCCCCCCCATCATTGGTGCCATTCTTGAATTTGGGTTATTTGAAAAAAATTGAAGTCTCCCAACCCTCTTGCCTCGGTTCTGTCGGAGAAGGATGATAAATCCTGAGGTTCGTCCACCAAAAATAACTATACAATGTTGAAAGGGGCGTTAAATAATTGTTTAAAAATTAGACCTTTAATGTAAACCCATAGAACCTACAACGGCACTGTCACCGGTTCATTTTTGTTACTTGTTCTCTCCCCCCCCCCCCAAAAAAAAAAACACAGCATATTATTGCTAATGCTTTTTCAGCTGAATTTACCGTTGCACCTTATTCATTTAGCGCATGTCGGTCGATTAAATTCAGCTCAAATATTTGGCTAAGAAAGAGAACCCCCAGCGAATAGCTTACTTCAGTCTATATTAATCTGAATGTGGGATTATAACAGCAGTAACTGGTAGGACAAACGGTCACACCCTAACTGTTTAAGGTGGGAAGGTTGAATAAGAACTTCAAACGGAGACACCGTGCATTGTATATATTTATACATCAAATAATACAATTGTGCCGTTGTATTTTTGCTGTTGAACTGAACGGGGGGCAGTACGGTGTATGAGTTAAAAACTCTTATAGACTATTATTTAGCAGTCTGAATACGCTGAATGTCATTCTTTAATGTAGGTTTTTTTACGCCCCCGTTGATACAATTCATCATCATTTAGGAGCTGGGCTTCGACCCTGGCTGTCAAGGCCACCCTGGGTGAAAAGGGATAAAACGTTCCAGCAGAAAGACAGAAATACTCGATTAAAATTTTCCCCACACTAGAATCGAACTCCGGTCTCCTGCGTTCGATTGCGAAAACCTAATACCGGGTGCCCATTGCGGATGGGGTCGGGTCCAGTCGTGATGCCACCAGTCGAACGATTGGTTTATGCCACGATAGCCGCTTTGCGCCCTCAACCTGGCTAGCAAACGGACCCGACCCGATCGTGCCAATGGGTACCCGGTGTAACCGGAGCACCACAGAAGACATTGTGTACGGTATCCCTCTTGAAAGTAACACCGAGAAGCCCCTTCCTGGGACTCTCTCTCTCTCTCTCTCTCTCTCTCTCTCTCTCTCTCTCTCTCTCTCTCTCTCTCTCTCTCTCTCTCTCTCTCTCTCTCTCTCTCTCACACACACACACACACACACACGCGCACACACACACACACACACACACACACACACACACACACACACACACGCTCGTGCGCACACACAAAGGTACGTATAAAATGTAGGAGGTTAACATCCACTATTTTTTCTTCTACTTCAAGTGCCAGATCTGAAACAGATATCAGCAACTGTGGTCCGCCACTAGTCATGATTTGTAGTATAGGTTTATGGTTGCTAGTTCAGTGTCCCTTTGCTTTTTGCCTGTGCATTATAAACATTAAGAAGACAGAGTACCTAGATGCCCTCGAAAACTGACACTGCTCAAGCAAAGCAAAATGCGTTTGTAAAGGGCACGTTTTTGCTAAATAGAAACTAACAATGAGAAGCCTTTTCACAAGATTTGGGCACACGCAAGTTGGTAGAAGTAGAAAAGTGCCCTGATCTGAGCAAATACGCCACCGCTGTTGCCTACCCTAACGTTAAAGTCTACAGTGCCTCTGAACTCTGAGTGTCCTTTCCATGACAAACCCCACGGGAGTAATCCAAATACATTGTTCTTCAACAAACAAGTGAAGGAGCAGCTGTACACTCGTTGTGGTATAAGTACGTAGGTCCTTATCTCTTCTCTTTCTCGGACAAAAAGATTTCGGAGCAAAAGAGTTCTGTCAGGCTCAGAGTCAGAAGAGTACGGCACGCTGATTCGGTTCGATCCGTTCTCGGTGGTGGCAACTTCACGCTTGGCGATCTCCAGAGAGTGACAGGTTGCTCAAGCACTCCTTGTCTCCTGTTGTGATTGTACAGACAATAGAACAGATTATGCCCGGTTCAGCTCATGCGGGACACACATACGCTAGTGGTTGTTGTTATGGATGTACTGCACGGTAGTTGCTGAGTCGAGTCTTTCTTCGATGATGACCGTTATTGTTTTCGCTTGATTCTCCTTTAAAAAACAAAGAAGAAAACAGTTTAAAGAAAACAACCGAAAATCTCACATACAAAAAAAGAAAAGAAATAGAAAAATATGCGGCATTAATTGTAACAGTAAAAATGGTACACGCGACATCATAAGCACAAACCAGATCTTTTAGGAGACTAACCATTTATACCTGTCCCCGGGTTTTATGCACCCCGCATAATATTAATTTAGTACAATTTGATCATTTTTTGCTTCATTTCTGATTATTTTCCTTTATCACGCACTCTTTGTTAAAATTAACAGAATCACATAATTTCCCATTTTTGGGCCCAGTTTGCATAATTTCATGGGGGGGGGGGGTTACATAAAACGGCGGGGACAGTAATAATCTACCCTGCCCACCAATGTCAATCGCAGAGAGATAAATGTTGATGTTCCATAAAATAATGTATAAACATGATGATAATAACAAGAATAGTAATAATAATAATAATAATAAGGATGATGATAATGATGATGATATGTAGGCCTAATAGTGATGATTATAAAAGATATAATGTTTGAAGAAGAAAAAGATCGATCTGGTCTTGCATTTCTACAGTAGTCTGCACGTGCTCAAAGCGCGTGTACATTATACCCCCCCCCCCCCCACAAAAACCCGATGACTGGACCGCACTGGTAGAACAGACCATAAAACAGTAAGCCCAGCAAGTGATCGAACAACGACCCGTGCTAGTGCCAGAAACGGTCAAGCGATCTTGGGCTGAGCCTGCTTAGCTCCTTCCAGACGGTGGTCAAGGCATGTTTTGTGATAAATATTTCACGAGTGGGACGCTGTGGAACAGTGGTTTTTTTTTACGCACACAAGGAATAATTGTCATTGTGTGTTATCTGTGAACGAAATTGCTGATGTTTCTGAGTATAATAGTAATACTGTCCAAAAACACAATGGTGATAAATTTTATGAAGACCGAGCTGCACAAAAGCTGGAAAATTCGGGATACTTGTACCTTTTCCTGCTAGATTGCTGTGATTTATGCGTGCACCCGGGTTGTCTGACTTCTTTGTATTCGACGAAGTTGCGCCTGTTTTTATTGTCGTTATTACTTTATTTATTTGTATTTTATTTATTTTGTATGTTTTCAATTTTTACAATAGCAAGTGATTATCTGAGCGCTATTATTGTGATAATCAACTACATCTCAACCGAGGTGTAGTCTACGTGAACGTGCTTTATTGCGCACAGAATATTACTGAATTTTTATTTCTTTTTTAATAGAAAAGCAATATGTCAGTCATCCGCTTGGGAATCCTTTGAAAACATAATTTCACAATTGCGTATTTATTTACCAAATGGGTTTGCTTTTAACAAATCTGTTCATTATTTTGTACGCCAGTTAATTATTGTTTATAAAAGCAATACGATACAAGAATATTATCCAACTTGTACAGGTTAGATTAGCAAATAAAAAAAATATTTTAAAAAATTACCGGACACTACTCAGTTACTTGGGTTACGTATAGCGTGTCGAACGCATAGGCTTACGACATCGTTTGCCTTTGTATGACATTCAAGTACCCGTATTAACATATACTATCAGATGCCAAGAAGAAAAGAGTGAATGGGGAGAACATGGCTAAGTGGCGGGGAAAGGGAAGTGGGATAGATAAAAAGGAAATACGGGGAGGGGCTCCAGAGAGACAAATATATCATAAAGTGAGAGAATGAAAGAGATAAAGAAAGAAAGAGAGAGAGAGAGAGAGAGAGAGAGAGAGAGAGAGAGAGAGAGAGAGAGAAGGGAGAGAGAGAGAAGGGAGAGAGAGAGAAGGGAGAGAGAGAGAAGGGAGAGACAGTGAGAGTGAGAGAGATTTAACCTACCTATGCACACTCACATTGTGCAGACTGGCACACCTTCAAATAGCTTAGTTTACACTGTTGGGCAAATTACTCAATATAATAATTCCTATGCTAGAGATCGATATCGCTCTTTAGTAAAGGGCGTTGTATGGCATCGGTCCATTGTGATCGGAGTGTCCACAGTTACATTAGCAGACTTTGCGCTTATGTTTGCAATAACATTCGAGTCAAAAGTCCTTTATATTTGCAAAACAAAACTGATGGTTGGTAATAGTAATATGTTCGCGTCCTCTACTCCACCCCCCTTTGCATTTGCCTGGCGCGCATTACATCAAAGAGAGGCATGCTTTCCTGTTTGATAAGATCTAAGTCTCCGAAAGGTCCCCCTTCATATGAGACGGAGAAACGGGTTCTCTTTCTCCTGTCTGACGCCAAGTGTTCTTAAGTCGCTCTCTCCTGCGTCTTCCTCCTATAATGTCCAATAGTTTAAAGTAGAGAGGTCTGAGTGAAATATTACGTGGGCTGAGTTGACTGTAAAGTCTTGCTTAGATGTGTCTGTTGTGAAATCTTCATTTCTTGTTGTTGCTCACTGGCGCACCATTGTTGACAGATATGGTAATTATGTTTTTTTTTAAACTGGTGAAATTTAAAAAGTTATAATAGAACAAATATGCTAACTTTTCATTCTGTTTTGTTTGTATTCGTTATTTTCCTTCTGTGTGTGGTGTTGTTTTTTTTCGTGTGTTTTTTTTTGTGGGAGGCAAGGCAAAGCTTTTCAGTCAGCCATAGAGTTAATATGTTTCTCTTGTCATGGCAGATACAATCTCGTTCGAATGTCTTCTGGGGAATTGTGACTTGTTTTTATGCCCTAGCTGTTCTTCTTCTTCAAGTGCCAGATCAGAAATAGATATGGGCAATCATTTCCCATCTGTTCGTGAATGCTCTTGAATCCCTGTACATTATCTTGATGTTTTCTGGTTACTGATCCTTTCAAGATTTCGTTTGGTTTTTAGTTTCCCAATAACAGCATTGCGTTCTAGTTGCTGTTTTGAACAAATAGTTGTTGCTTTAAATTGGTTAGACCAGAAGATTTATAGGATTCCCGTGAGGCTCTTAAGACTTAGATAATATAACAATATGAAATGGATATGCATCTGTCACTCGTCACACTTCATCGTTCTGAGCTCAAAAGCAAGTCAGATATGTTGGAGCACAGGAACAATTGTATTGTGGAGCTGATGCTGTACTGGGATGTGATCTCTACACATTATTCAGAATGTCAAATTATACTGTTTTGGGCTGTGTTGAAACGGTTAGCGGTGATTTTATCTCTTCCCCTAATCTCACATGACAATTCTTCCCTTAAAAGTGAGCTAGTTTTGGCACAAAGGAGCACAGGGACATGGTGGCAGTCATTTTCGAAGCTAGGAAACAGAAAGAACGACACACAGTGAACGCGGTGAGGATAGTAATAAAATGGGACATTCGTGCCCTGGTTCATTCTTCATTGTATATATAAAGAGAGGGATAATCAGGAAAGAGAGAGAGAGAGAGAGAGAGAGAGAGAGAGAGAGAGAGAGAGAGAGAGAGAGAGAGAGAGAGAGAGAGAGAGAGAGAGAGAGCACAACATAGCATAGCATAGCATAGCAGTGTTGGCGTCACGAAGCTTAGTGTCAAGACCGTTTTCACTTCCGAACGCGGCCATTGTTCATTATCTATGATAAAAAATGTGGGTGAAAACTTTAAACACTTTCATTTTCTTTCCTATGTTGTTAGTTCAGATAGCGGAAAGAGAAACACGACCACAATATGGGGAGAGGAGTGATGGTGAAGTAGAAGGTCACCAACGATGTGCCGATTCATGAGCCTCGTATATTAAATCTAATTAATAATTTTCCTGGGCATTAATTTCACGCACCACGTTCAGCGAGAACAAAAGTTTGACTCTCTGGTCTTACTTCTTTTATGACAAGATCGCTAACATGCCGTGTGGCTTAGCATTTCGTTTATAACAGAAAGTCGTATTCACGGTGTAGGTTTTTGTCCCTACATAAGGTCCATTTTCCTTCTCTCGTGTCTTTACTTGAAGGTAGACAGAAGGCTGTCACACTAGAGTGCTTACAAATGTCCGAATTACATTAATAATTTATAATAGACGACGGAGATCAGGTTATTGAGAAGGGGGATATCGACGGAAACGCTGTCACACTCAATACATAAGATCTTAGCTAAGGTTATTTTGAAAATTGATTTTTACGCTTTGGTGGCGGTGGAAAAAAGCTGAGATCATAGTAAACAAATCGTTCAAAGGCGTTGGAAAAGAATTTGTTTACCCCTATTGCAAAAGAAAAAAAAAAAAGATTTTTATTACGTGTTTACCTTGATTCATTGGTCGTAAAATAGGCTGCCTCTTAGGAAGTCTTTATCCCACGAAAAAAAAGGGCCATAGCTGTTGCTTCTAAAGTCAAACTGATAAAAATGTACACAGTATAGATCTAAATATTGGTATACATAAGCGTTCTGCTCACTCAAACGGAAGTAAGTGAAACACTTCATCCTGCGCTTTTCCATTTCCAGGCTGGTCTCTTCGCTTTCTTTACGTAAGTACATCATTTTGCAAGTTGCTTACGAGTTTGCCTTCTCAAAAGGTAATGCTTTACACGTAGTGTAAAAACTTCAGTAAGTGCTTTTCTTAAGATACAGTCAGTCTATAGATCTAGGAGTACAGAGGTGTTTGTCCCAAGCTTGTGTTATCAGTATCTGTGGTTCAGCTGTTAGGCTCCTCACCGTTGCACACACAAGACTTAAGTTTTGTTACAGCGAGGGCAAATTTATTCAAATTTAGTTGAATACTTGCATCTCCGGTTTATTTTTCTGCTTTGGTGCTGTATCCTAAACCAGGGTAGCCTCAGGCACGCAGGATCGAAGCAGCCCGCCTCCAAAATTATGAAATTTTGTCAAAGGAGGTGAAAAACATTTATCTAAAGATTGCGTTAAGAAGAGACAAATACTGCAAGTGAAGGATTCTCGGTCAACACTATAAGGGACTATAGTCTGTCTATATAGTAGCGTTTCGTGTTTACTTTGATGGCACTGAGAGTGCGCACTGAAAATGAATTTAATCAATAAAATCTGTCTGAAAACTGATATGAAATTAACCCTGGTTTGTCTGATCTTATAGTTTGACGATTCCGATGACAACATACGGCTAAACATTACCCAAAAACTCCGTCCATATCATGATTAGCCACTGTGTTTTAGAGAGTTAACAATGATTAGGTGGAAGCATCGACGGGATTTCAGGTGAATTTCCTACAACTGTGAACGGACGGTAAGATGGGAAAACGTTGCCAAACGTCTCGGACATGTAAATAGGAAGAAAAACTTTCGGTAGGACTCACTTTTATTACCAGTTCAACTTTATGACCGCCAAAATGGGCTTGGATCTCGCCCTGTTCGAAGGTTCGGTACCCAGAGACTTGCTGTGTGCCGTGTGCGGTCGTGTGCTCGTGCAGCCAGAGATGAGCACATGCCAGCACGTGTTCTGTAGCTCGTGCCTGCGGAAGAGCGTCACAATGGCGTGTCCCGTGTGTGGGACATGGCTGCAGATGACGTCATATCCTCCGCCTTCGAAACTGTGCGTGAGGCTTTTGGGATTGAGGATACGATGTGACCACAAGTGTGGTCAGGTGATACTTTTGTTTATTATCGTATTTATTTCATTTGTTAGTTTTCGTCTGCACATGTTGTGTTAAATGTTTGCTGGGTGCCAGTCCACTTGATGGTTTACCGTAATGATTTTGTTCTAATTGACGGTCTACAAATGGATCACTATGACAATGGTTCCAGTCGACGGTCTTCTAGTCTACTACAAACAGCAAACCTGACCATAACCTTTACCCCCACCCTACCCTTAACTTCACCCAACTTTTAGCCAGACCACTTCATAACCTTAGTCCTAACCCCAATCAACTGAACTGACGCAAGCAGATAGGCCTTGATCAGTTGTCCAAGTAGACCGCCAAGTGGACTGGCACCGTTTGCTAAATCAATTCTCCTGAGAGCACATTATGAAACATTCTTATGATTATTTTTTAAAATTCTTCCTTTCCTGAAAAGTTAATTAAATCCATGAGCTTTGTTTCATATATGTAATCACCAACACGGAGCCCCCATACCCCTTTTTCCCATTTCCAAATATACAACAAATCTGCTGCAGCAACGAAAGCAAAACAACAATAAGAATAAACAGTACCACTACCACCCAACCACCATAACAATAGCATCGGCAATAACAACAACAACAACAACAACAACAACAACAACAATAACAACAACAACAACAACAACAACAACGACAACGACAACAACCACGACGACGAAGACGATGGCCTTAAAAAACACAAAAACTTACAGACATTTTTGTCCCCTCAGTAACCGAACAAAGTCAATGACCTTATCAGTAAATTGGTCAAATTAAAAAAGATAAATAAAGCCAAACCATATTTTGGGATAACTGTAGAGGTTCGGGAAGATGTCACACCAACTGATTAATA